GGGTATTATTACTTATCTTATCGACGTGCGTGCGTGCGCGCGCGTGAGTATCTTTTTATGAGGCAAGCTAGCGAAAAACCACATAGAAAAGAAATGGTTCATTATATTACAAATAGAAATCACAGACAGACAGACACGCTCTTTTATTATTACTAGCGTATAGTCCGCCAAAAATGACGAGACAAGTACTACCACCTCATATTATACCCTGAAGCATATTAGTTCGACTAACAACTTCTAATATATAGAAAAGCCAGTGCGTTTTGGTAACACTACGTTCCAATAATGGCTTTTATATCATGTTGCTTAACATCAGAAGTATAACCTAATATTGTTGTTAGTCTATGTACTGAAAGTATAAAATGAAATGTACAGACAACAATTGTTAACTGGAAAATATTTGTTGATTTCTTGATTTAGAGTCTACTTTGATTAAAGAGGTTTGTTTTTTATTTAAAAACGTTGGTGATATAATAGAAAATACCTCAATTCAGAAACGATTTAAGTTTAAAATTCGATCATTATTTTCACTTTCATGATAAATTTTATGCCCTTGCTAAACAATATCAACCTAATAACCCGTGCGAAGCCGGGTACTTTCGCTAGTATACATATTAGAACCAGAACCATCTTTTTTCTTAGGCTACATGTAGAAATATAAATTATCATAACTGTGATTATTAGCACTATTAAGTAATAAAACTATAAGAGAATATGGTCTTTAGATTAGAAACAGTTATATACTACATCACCTTCTCCAGTAATTATTTGTTTTTTGTCTCTCTAGCATCCTCCTCACCTGACTCCAACCTACTGAATGTCCAAGCTAATCTTCCTGGACGACGTCATTCCGATAACACAATCCAGCCTCCAAGAATCATGGTAGCACCTAGTAGTCCGGACAGTTCCTTCTCCCCAAGCTCCACTGCCCCAGGTCTGCCAATGAGACGACACTCCAGTGTTAGTCCCCACGATACAAGATATCAGTTCTCTTCCCCAAAGGTATGTAAATACAGGAACTTTCTCGCATCATTAGCTCTGACTGTATTAATATATTTATCCAATATACTCTAATGAAAGGACCCTTATTTTTAATCTGTATTAATCCCTAGTAGACCCACGAGAAGGATAAGCCATGTTGAATTGTACACATCCTTAATACTTTCTAGAGAAGGATAGGCCATGTCAATCTGTATTAATCCCTAGTACTTCCTAGAGAAGGATAGGCCATGTCAATCTGTATTAATCCCTAGTACTTCCTAGAGAAGGATAGGCCATGTCAATCTGTATTAATCCCTAGTACTTCTAGAGAAGGATAGGCCATGTCAATCTGTATTAATCCCTAGTACTTCCTAAAGAAGGATAGGCCATGTCAATCTGTATTAATCCCTAGTACTTGCTAGAGAAGGATAGGCCATGTTAATCTGTATTAATCCCTAGTACTTCCTAAAGAAGGATAGGCCATGTCAATCTGTATTAATCCCTAGTACTTGCTAGAGAAGGATAGGCCATGTTAATCTGTATTAATTCCTAGTAGACCCACGAGAAGGATAAGCCATGTTAATCTGTATTAATTCCTAGTAGACCCACGAGAAGGATAAGCCATGTAAATCTGTACTCATCCCTAGTACTTACTAGAGAAGGATAGGCCATGTTAATCTGTATTCATCTCTAATACTCCATAGAGAAGGATAGGCCATGTTAATCTGTATTAATCCTTAGTAGACCCATAAGAAGGATAGGCCATGTTAACCTGTATTAATCCCTAGTAGACCGACGAGAAGGATAAGCCATGTTAATCTGTATTCATCCCTAGTACTTACTAGAGAAGGATAGGTCATGTTAATCTGTTACAATTCCATATTATTGTACAAAAGGATTGTGTTAATCTATTATAATACCATGTAGTTTTACCTATGTTAATATGTATTTTCCCCATTAGCTCTACAGATACAAGATCCTGTGTATATGTGTCTCGTGTAGTTTTAGGAGAACATGTTTTGTACGTTCTCTTTTCTTACTACCTATTTTCACAGGGAGAGAATCCTGAGTTTTACGTAGTTATTCCATTATTTTAGATCAAACTCAAATACTGACAACTGAGGATAACGCAATTCTAATACGACCATCATCCTTTGACCACTACTTCTTAACACCACTGTCAAGTGAGAACACAGACTGTTGTGACACAGATACCCAGTTGTGTAAATGTATCTGCTATGACAGATATACACCTCGTTACCCTTTCACACGTACTTTTTTTATAATTAAAACTATGAACTTAGGAAAGTAGAAATACGATACGGCTGCCACAACGATCGCATACGTGTAGTTGTCGACAGTTTAAAACTAGCTATATAAAGCAATATTTTACAAACTAGAAATGTTAGAATTTAACTTGGAGCATAAGGTAATTTAGAAATTAAATAGTGTATTGTGTAAGTAAATTTAACTTAGATATTAATTATTTTATTGTTTTCGCTAGTTGAACTTCAATCTAGGAGCAGATTTCTTCAGTAGCGGTCGACCAACAGCCAGACGATATTCTGCTGTAGCTTTATACAACAGTGTAGGTGGCAGCACCTCCACATCTTCCAATCAGTCTCCTAGTTTATTACAGCAGATAGGTTCTGGCATGGTAAGTAATTTATTTCAAGCCACTTTCAATATAAAAGCAAATTCATTGATAGTGAAACATTAAAAACTGTAAAATTTAAAAAGTAGAATCTCGTTAAAATGCACAATAAAAACTTTTATTAGACTGACAGCCAAATTTAAAACATTACATGTTTCGATAACTTTACGCTCTCGTCATCAGTAGTATAAACCTACGTGACAAGCGTGTAATTTTATAGATAAAAGGCTTAACTTATTGTAATTTAAGGGTGGTATGAATATTATACGTAAACAAATCAATATTTCTTTTCCAAAACTTTGCTTTATCGACAGCTATTTCTTAATCTATATTTAGCAAAAAATTGTTTAATTAACAGCACAAAAATGTAATATTCAGTTCTCTTTGAGTGTTAGGTTTATTTGAAATTATTGTTAGACGCCATTGTATCGGATGACCTCTTTCGACAGCGTGTTCAACAAATAGAGAAATTATATTTTCCTGACTTACATAACTTTTACGTTGATTAATACGATATTTCGAATTAGGCTTTATTTGACCAATGTGTTTTTTATTGTAGTATTCACACTTAATTTCACATATACCTTTTTTATCTATTTTTTTTTTATCTTTAGTGCTAAGAAGTATTGTTTTAATTTTGTTCATTGGTTTAAAAATAAACTTATCTTGGCTAGTTATACCTTGTGCTTATGGTAATATTACTGTTGTTGCGTCATCGAGATCATGTGATTCTCACGCTCTCTACTTTCTAGAATTATCCTGTACTTTGGCAAATGTTCTAGTTCTTACTAGATATAGGGTAGTCGGGTATATAAAAGAGGGGAACAACGTGACAAGGTAATGTGTGTGTAGATAGTGAGTAATTGATCTGCGGTCAGAAGTATTATTGACGTTCGTTGTTATAGCGTTTGTTTAGCGCGATTGTTGAAGTTGAGTGTATCGGTAAAGTTGTATTCGGAAAGAATAAACCAGTTTTATTAAGTAAAAAACTTGTGTCGCTAAAGTTTCGTCGGAACGAAGTTACGGAAAGTTAATTAACAAACGGAGACGTAACACTGTACTGTTGAATATGTTATCATATACACTCATTAATCCAGTGCATTGCTTAACAAAAACTGAGTTTTGTATTATATGTTTATTGATGTGAACATTATAATCTCTATCATTAGCAATGTTTTTTAAATAATTCAATTTGTTTTTCAAATTAGTAGAATCAGAACACTTTTTTTTTTAATTTTGTAAATTTATTGCACACGTTACCTTTGTTACGTATCTGCTTGTTTGTTAATTTCCCGTAGAAATTCTTTCCGGGAAACTTCAGCGACACAAGTCCTTTCTTGATTAAAACGAGTTTATTCTTTCTCGATACAAACTTTGTAATACACAGTCAATACGTTCCTCGTCGCTTTAAACTTAACGACTTTTATAAACACACGCTATAATCACAGCGATTCACACACTTTACTTACGGTGCCTACAGTTCGCTTGACTCAATTATCTCTATCCTCAATCTATCTGCATATCTATCTATCGCTGGCTTTATTTGCGGGGCTTATATACTAAAAAAGAGGGCGCCTGGCAAACACTCAGACATTCGCGGGGTTCCTCGATAATTCATGATCCTTCGAGAAACTCCAGCGCGTGACTTCCGCTGTCGTAACACCTTGATTAAATTTTAATTACAAACTGTAGTTATCTACAAAATATTTATTGTAATAATACGCGTTGTAAGGCGATGTCAGTATAGGCCTATGTAGATAGGCGTCGAGTGTCTTTAATTGTTAAGATTAATTGCCTTGCCTCTGGTCCACTTTTCAAAATCACGGATGGCTATCTCTGAATCAAAGGAATCGTTGACCTTGCCATTTAACCCTTTATGCACAAAAGGTGTATTTCAGGTGAACAAACAAATAAAGTGTTCGTAAATATACTATAACAAATCACAAGCCTTAACAATGTTACTAATCGGGTCCTGTACAATACTTAAAGAGACTGACTGTTTAGAGGTGCATGTATAGTTCTACCGTATTTTAGTTTTTGGCGTAACAAACCTAAAATTATCAAAAGGTGATCTTCCAGGAGCCTAACTGATATTAAACCCAGCTACCTACTTAGATCAAAACTGAAGACCAACCTGGTAATGAGTACAACTGATTAAACACTTACGTTTTAACGTATTGTTACGTCTCCGTTCGTTAGTTAATTTTCCGTAACTTCGTTCCGACGAAACTTTAGCGACACAAGTCCTTTCTTAATAAAACTGGTTTATTCTTTCTGAATATAACCTTGCGATACATTTAATTTCAACAGTCGCGCTATAACAAACGTCTCACGTGCTCTACTTCAACAATACTCAATTACACACTCTCTGACTGCAGTTCAATTACTCATTACACTGTTCCCGTCGCTTCGTGGCCGGTCTTATATACAAGACTAACACATATCTAGTAAATGCTAGGGCATTCATGAAGGAACAGGATATTTCTAGAAACAGGTGGCGTGATACTAGTCACGTGACCTCGCTGACGCAACACTATAAAGATTAGAATGGATACCCTCGCTGTTAGCACTGTTTTCAATATATGTGTGTTAAAATATCGTTGTGTATATTTTGTTTAATATTCTATACAACTTTCTTCAAACAGTTTACTTTAACAAAGATTTTCTGGTACTACTTTGCAAGTAGTGTATATGTAACTAACAAATAGCACATATCTCGTTGTTAGTTGTTCTTTTTTAATTAAATAATTAGCTTTTGCTATGCCATTCGTAAAATAATATTGCTTGTGTCGCCATCTATGGAATGTTGATAATATTATCTTATAGCATCATCGTTATTGTGACCGGTTAATGGTCATTCTCATTCTTAAATTTTGAAATACGCAGAGGAAGGAGTTTTTAAAGTCACTTTTATGTCTTTCAACAATTGTTAGTTGGGTTATTTGACAGAACGCAGGTTGAGCCTGTGGTAGAGCTCTGGTTTCGGAGCTGGTGAATGAAATTCAAATCCGTGCGACACAACAAAATAATACTCGCACTTTAAGCTGTGGGAGCGATATAGGAGTGACAGTCAGTTCTTTGGCGTGGGTGGTAGCTGCCTTCCCTTTAGTCATTATTTCAAAATGAGGGATGGTGGCACATAGCCTTAATAACTTTGCAATAAATACAATATACAAATACGTTATATCGAGGTTTTCTCGCCAAGATACACAGGGATCATCTGTACTAGAAGGCAGCTAGTCAACAGCACCCACTGATAATTTAATCAAGTGGTGGGATACCGTCACTCTTATAACGCACCAATAGCCCTAAAGTGTGGACTGTTGTCGCGAATGTGTGTTTTAAAGAAAACGAAATATATAATGATGTGTTTTAAAACCGTTCACTTTCTTTGTTTTTAGCAACAGCTATTTTCTGGTAAATAAAAAATTGGAGCGTCTTCAAACTACCCTGGGGGAGGAAGAAGAGAAGCCAAAATACAACTAACACTGACGGAAATGGTTCTTCGTTTTTAGCAACAGCTATTTTCTGGTAAATAAAGAATTGGAGCGTCTTCAAACTACCCTGGGGGGAGGAAGAAGAGAAGCCAAAATACGACTAACACTGACGGAAATGGTTCGTGGACATGTGTCGTGAAAATATGAAATTTGAGTAAAAATTCAAAGTGTAGTTTATCTTCAATACACGAATGTTTCAAGAACACATAATATAGATTTTGATGCTTTTGTTCGTAATTAAAGCCTTGTTGTTTTTCCTAATTAAAGTACAAACAACAACAACTGAATGTTAGATTAATAACAACTTTCAATTTCTGATCAACTTGGAACATATAGTTTTTACTAGTTTAATTCTTGACATTAATCTGTTTCAGTTTCTCAATGGAATGTTTTCATCATATTTAAAGCGAAAAAACCGACCGACGTAGCATTATTTATTGAGTGAAGAAATCTGTCGTTATTACTAGCTTTCTCTATAGATCTTCGAGTCACAGACCTATGTAATGCATTTAGTTGAAACTAACAATTGCGTCTAACGCATGAAATAACTAAGCCAAATTTTTGTTACGCTAAAGAGCGCTAGCTCGAAACGTCATCCTCATGAAATGAAAATAAATAACAGACTTGGTGATTGTTTGACCTATTCCTTAATTCTGTCATAGATATGGGCCCACTGTACTAGTACTATTGTCAAGATTAAGGCTCTGGTAAACGTTACTTTTAATATTTTTCAAGCAGTTAAGAAAAAGTGACATTGTAAACATTTATACAGTGAAATCTGGAGACACGACACTTAAACTGGAGACACTTGTGATTAAAGTGGTATTAAAAATGTCCAGGGTAGCATGACTCCAGATTTCACTTTTAGGACACTTGTGATTAGGGTGGTATTAAAAATGTCCAGGGTAGCATGACTAAAAGTGAAATCTGGAGACATGACACTTAATCTGGAGACACTTGTGATTAGAGTGGTATTAAAAATGTCCAGGGTAGCATGACTAAAAGTGAAATCTGGAGACACTTGTGATTAGGGTGGTATTAAAAATGTCCAGGGTAGCATGACTAAAAGTGAAATCTGGAGACACTTGTGATTAGTGTGGTATTAAAAATGTCCAGGGTAGCATGACCAAAAGTGAAATCTGGAGACATAACACTTAATCTGGAGACACTTGTGATTAGAGTGGTATTAAAAATGTCCAAGGTAGCATGACTAAAAGTGAAATCTTCTTCCACTCATGACAATCCCCTTTTTTCAGATCCTAACTATCTCCAGTTGGAGCTGTGATGTTCGTTGTGACTGAATGTTGTAATACTTTTCATGCTGTAATGTACTCTGTGATATTTTGTATTCTTAGCTATATAGATATAAAATAGGAGGCATGGGGTTTTGGTTTTGGTTTTTCACAGTCGTATCGTTATCCTAGAATGTGGTACGAGAAAATACTCGAATATATCGCTAAGTTTGACATATGTTTTATGGTGAAGTAACTCTTATTACCTATTAGAATTCATAATTGTATTAAAATACTCAGGAGGAAAATGTTTAGGTGATTATGTGATACCAACAAATTAGGAATATCTGACTGGAGACAAAAGAATCGCATTTTTAAAATGAACTCTCTACACGATTTTTGTATTCTTATTATGCACGCATAAATTGGTGTGTATTTATTAAACGATTTGTTTGTTATTTCATCATGCTTAGATACACATGTAACTCTTTTATTTTAAAGTCTTTAGTTCTGTAATAAGGACACTATTTTTTTTAATCTTTTAAATTATGCAACAGAGTTTGTAGTTTCTGTGTTTGCTGACCAGTAGCGTAGCGAGAGTTTCGTGCGCCCCCTCTGTAGTAAATCTGAAAATCGAAAGGGAAAGTTTAGATACGACCAACACTATCAACTAACATATCCAGTTTTTTTCGAGAGAAAATAACAACTTAAACTGTAGTGACATTTCTTGAAAAATGTATATTGGTTTATACAGAATGCAATTTACTCAGCAAGTACGATTTGTTTTGATAAAAATGGAAAATATTAAGAAAATTTTACTAAAAATGCCTTTACAATAGGCGTTGTAAGCCATGTTATTCAAGACTGTTTAAACAAAACGAGTCTTTCTACTACACAACGTAGCTGGAAAGTTGTTAGATAACACATGTTTTTGCCAAATACAGGTAATGCATTTTAAAGTCTGTATGCGAATCTGGCCTTTTGTGTTTTCTTCAAAAGTAGAGTAAAATATTGAAGAAAGGCATAAGCATAGGTGTGGGGTTAGAATGTGCGCCAGGGGACAAGTGTCCCCCCCCCTTACGTTACTGTTATTGACACAATGTAACCTTTTTATTACTCTGTTAAATGCTGTACTTGATATAATAGATAAATATATTCTGTAAAATTCAAAACTAAGTTTTGTTGGTTATATATAAGATAAGGCTAACCTCTGGTTTTTCAAAGTTCAAGATTTTCTGAAACACCACAACTAATAAAGTGTTTTATGGAAATAGACCTTATAGAAAAATCTGAATAATTCCCTGATTAGACTATGATGTCTCTCACAAGTGACGTAACAAAAACAAGATTAGAAGTACAAAAACAGAACACACGGAATTTATGTAAATATATTTATTTAAAAATTCAGTTAAAGTATGGTGCACTTTTAAACATTGTTTTAATTAGGTTTTTAAATAAATATATAAAAACAGTTTTTAAGCTAAGAAGAATCTTCGACATCAGGTGGCCAGATAGTGGAGTTGAAGAATCTTCGACATCAGGTGGCCAGATAGTGGAGTTTTTTTTTTTCTTCTGAATTTGAACGGATTGATTTCCACATTATAATTTTGTTCTTTGTCGTTTACTCTAACTTAGAAAATATATGCAGCTGGATTTTGACGCTAGTGGTCTCTGTTTTGATTCTTCGGTTCGGTTAACATGTCAATAATTTCGAGAAAAACTTGTATCCTAAAAGAACTGATACTGCAAAGTGTTAGGCCTTGTGAGTGTTAAGATCTAAGCCTGTATTTTTTATGTTAAGCAAATTGAGGTCAGTCTATGCAAAATACCCATAGAAATATACATTTACGTAGGATAAGAAATCTCTCACGTCTTGACATGTGGTGAAAATGTAACTTAATTGAAAACTTACACGGGAAATCGATCTCACTAGACATTGTTTCACTTCTCTATTCCTTAGTAGATAATTCGTGGTTTGATCCCTGCTGTGCTTAAATCGCGTGCAGCCCAATTTATACCTCTCTAATTAACAACAAACAAACAACATTCTAGTAGGAATGTTTCTAAACCTGTTTCATAAGTAGCCATTAGTTGTACACAGACAAGTGTTGCCCTTCTTGTTGTCAAAGCTGAAAACTAAGGCCGATGATGATACATGTCATTAAAAGTAAACAAAATGTCCGCTTGACCGCAGGAATCGCAAGAGAGGATTAGCGTAATAATGTAAAAAACAAAACAAATGAAAACTAAAGGATTTTTGTTTGTTATTAAGCATTAAGTTATAGAATTGGTTATTTGTGATGTTTGCACCACGTGTATCGAAACTTGATTTTTTAGCGATATAAGCCCTCTATATTTCAGTGGTTATTAGGTGATGTTTTCTGTATGTTTGACTGGTTATTTACTGTTTGTTTCGGTAATAACCACTGAAATATAGGTGATGTTTTCTGTATGTTTGACTACCTATATAGAGTTGGATATGGTATATTTGAGTGGCTGTTTAATGCTGGTTTCGGAATGTTTTTCTTAATATGCGTGATTTCATCAGTCCTTAAAATGCTTTGTTTATAGCTAGACGGATCTAATTATGTTAATGACTTATTTAAATGTAAGTAACATTATTACTTTCGCCAGTTTTAATACTATTGTAATGCTTCCGATAAAGTAGTTATTTTCCATATAAATACTTGAAAGTTTGTAACCTTGTACCTACTTTTCGGGCAGGTTCGGTTTAGGTTTCGTTTGAATTATATCAGCTGATCGTTGAGTGATGTGTGTATAGTATAGATAATATAAATATTTTGTTGTTGTTATATAAACATCGCCGACTCCATGTGTATATGTGAGTGCAAGTAAATAAAGTTTATAAGTAAACTGTTCTTGTGCTTTCGTTGTATTTTGAATTAAAATCGATATTCTGAACTATACGCCCATGCACTTCTGTTCTGAGTCGTATTTTATATTCAACATAACATAATTTACGTGATAATTCAATAAGAGATTTCGATACTAAAATCAAATTTGAGAAATATTAAAGGACAACGGTCACCAAAACATGATTTATGTTGTTTTCGTTATCTATGTCACAAATGTAACATTTCTGTTAAAATTCTAAAGTGCGTGAAAGTCTGATAAATGTCTAACTAAACACAGGTGGTTTTGTTTCCGCCTATTTCCAGTTCCAATATGAGGCTCTATTGCTGTGACATCACTTAGTACAGTGTTTGATAAGAAAAACGTCAGAATTAAGTACAATAACAAAATTTATTTACGGATGGGGAAATTTTATTGACGTCTTATTGCAAGAGTAATTCCACACATTAAAGGTAAGGCCTCCGTGGTGTAAATCAACAGTAATTCCACACATTAAAGGTAAGGCCTCCGTGGTGTAAATCAACAGTAATTCCACACATTAAAGGTAAGTACTCCGTGGTGTAAATCAACAGTAATTCCACACATTAAAGGTAAGTCCTCCGTGGTGTAAATCAACAGTAATTCTACACATTAAAGGTAAGTACTCCGTGGTGTAAATCAACAGTAATTCCACACATTAAAGGTAAGTCTTCCGTGGTGTAAATCAACAGTAATTCTACACATTAAAGGTAAGTCCTCCGTGGTGTAAATCAACAGTAATTCTACACATTAAAGGTAAGTACTCCGTAATGTAAATCAACAGTAATTCTACACATTAAAGGTAAGTCCTCCGTGGTGTAAATCAACAGTAATTCCACACATTAAAAGTAAGTCCTCCGTGGTGTAAATCAACAGTAATTCTACACATTAAAGGTAAGTACTCCGTAATGTAAATCAACAGTAATTCTACACATTAAAGGTAAGTCCTCCGTGGTGTAAATCAACAGTAATTCCACACATTAAAAGTAAGTCCTCCGTGGTGTAAATCAACAGTGTTATTATTATATAATTAATGACCAGAAGTTATAGTTTTAACTGACCTAAAAACATTAATTATTTATTACCCAATTTATTTGTGAATAAATTATTTAGCTTAAAAAATAAATACGAGAAAAATTTTAATAACCTATTATACATTACTATTTTGGAATGAATAGTTTAGAATAAAAAAAATAGATCAAAATCTTAATTATATGTTGTCTATTATTATGATTATAAAATGAATGATCAAACGTTGGAAATAAAACAGATAAAAACATTGATTAACTACAATATGTTACTGTTCTGAGACAAATAATTTAATTCTGAAAAAATCATCATTTAGGTTATTTGAATAGAAGAAATAAGGTTATAAATCTGATAAGTTTATCTTGAATAAAGATTTATTGTATAATTTGTTTAAAAATATCATGCTGCACTTCTCCACTACGGCTTTCAAGGGTCAACAGTTTAACTTGAACTACATAAGTTTAAAAAAAGAAGCTGAAGAGTCAGATATTTTTACAAATAATTCTATTATTCGAGCTAGTTGAAATCAGAGAGAAATGAAAAAAAAAGAGATAACAGTAAAAATGTACGAAACTAAGTTGTCAAGATAAAATCAATTCAATTAAAACTGAAATAACTTTATCTCAGCGAGTCCTCAAAAACTAT